ACATGCATTCTGTCCTGCTGCTGTCAGACTTTGAAAACCCTGTGCAATATCTATTTGTCTACATATACTAGAATATAGGAGAATTGTACTCTCTCAGTGTTTCTAGTCATCTAAAAAATCTGTGCAATACCACTGATATGTGCAATAATGTCATTTTTTTAGAACTTGTACCTTGTGTATTTTAGTTTATCCTTATTTTTGTACTTTAACAAAGGGATTAATGAAGGCGTATCATAAAGCATCTCATACGTAACTGCACACTGTTGCTTTCTGCCTCCTTCCCCAAGAATATTAATAATAAAACATCACTTAGAACTCTGACAGGACTAGTTTCTCAGGTTTGTTCTGTATGAAACCCTGAAAGTCTGAATCTGGATGGAAAATGCTCCGCCGTGGTGCTGGCTGCTGATTTCTCTCACGATATAGAATAGAATAGAAATACTTTATTTATCCCAGAGCTGGGAAATTACAGCAGCAACAAAGAAAAGCACCAAATCACAACAGTTAGAAAATATAGTAAATTAAGTCTATAAAAATAAAATGATAGAAAAAGGGGTAAAGTTAAATACGATTAAAAAACAAACTAACTGTACAAAATGTGCAAATTGGAAAACAGTGCAAAATGTTGTATATGTCTTCCAGCATAATAAAAGCACATGAACATGTTAACGAGGTCAAACCAAAAAAAACATTTTTTAAATGTGGATTTTTGCTTCCACTTGCACCAGAACACTACCTCAGCTGTTGGTTTGTTTCTGACGGACTTCATCATGTTGACATCTTTTGATTTTCCAGCCCTGCAGAACAGACAAACAGTTATAAGAACAAACCGTGTCGAGTACAAATACGATGTTAAAATCAATCGTTGAGCTCCGTCACCCGTCTGTGAGGGAGAATCCTGAATCTCCAGAGTCCTCCAGAGACTCGGCTGCTCCTGAACGTCCGGCCGCTCTGCTCCCTCTCTGGTACTGTCTCCTCTTTGTGAAGGTTTCCTCTTTCTCTGGCAGGTCCTGCGGCCGAGCTGAATCAGCTTCATGTCGCTGTGAAGCTGCAGGGAATGAAGAGTTTGAATTTGAGATCAAAAACAGGCTGAAAATGGAATCAGACGGTCGGCAGACGCACAAAAAGGTGTCAGAAAAACAGAATGAAATGAATTATAATCAGCAAAAAGCTAAATACAATGATGGTGGATAATCAGAAGATTTAAAAAAAAATCCTGATGTATGAGAGAATTGTGTAAACTCTGCCAGACAGCTTTGAGAAGATGGTTTTGTAGCCTCAAGATGACGCTGTGGAAGAAAACATGGTTCAGGACACAATAAGGGAAAACCTCATGTAGAGATGTTATGACTCTTTCATAAACGTGAATCAGACGATTATGAACTTTATTTGGGTTAACATATTCTGCATCAACGCTCAGCTGCTCTTGAGATCATCTTGGTTTCTCTGTAAACCTACAAGTAAACAATTATCTTCAATACAATAATCTGGAAAAAGCTCCATCCTTTAAATCATGAAATATCTTTTTATCATATTCGAAGCTTCACTGTGTCTGTTTTAAATGAAAGAAAATACTGCTTTGTGTCTCTGTTTGCTGACGTTGCATCTTCACCGCATCTTTTTTAATGATATGTGGATTTCAGTGATCATTTTAAATTATATTTCTCTCAGACAACATCAGCCTCATATGATGTTAAATTTCCCCGTGGAGACGACCAGGGAGCACATGTGATGGGAATATATAGACACCTATGAACAGCAGTTTTTGTTTCCTAGCAATGAGTCCTCATCAAGGTTTGGTCAAAATAGAAAAAAAAAAACTGGAACATGTCTTGTCAAACTTTCCACACGTCAGATGTTAGAGCCTCAGAAGTTGGTGAAACGTCACCTAAAGACTGTATTCTAGTAGGAAGTATGGGACTTTCTGGGGCCATAATACCACCCTGGTGTGAACATTTGGCATATTTTTCTATGTTCAAGTGCCAATAATTATTCATTATTGTCATTTTGGACTTTTTTAAATACTATTTTGTACATTTTTGACTAATTTTGGAGAGGTTTCAAGTCAAAATAGCCTAAAAGCTGCAACCATTCAGCTCATAAAGGCCTTGAAAGGTGGTGAAATGTCGCCCAAAGTCTGTATTTTAGTAGGAAACACAGATCCATACATAAATGTAGACTCTGGGCCCACCACACCACCATCATTAGTTCTTTTTTCTTTTCATTTTTAAGGAGTTTGCCCTCTGTTGGAGCCTTTCGGTCAGCTGGATCTGCTTGAATCTGTTCTGTCTGTGTCGTCTCCAGGTTTCATGGCTGTGGGAGGTTTATTTATTGAACCATTAAAAGGGTTTCTTGGCTAAAAATGTCTTTTTGAGGGGGAAATTACTAAAAGGAAATGTCCCCAGGTCTGATAAGATAGATATGAAAGTCTCAAATTCAGCAACAATATTTGAGTTTGGCTGAAATCAGGTCTGAACTAACAAATAAATAAACATATTTGATGATTTTTGTCTGATTCCTTAATTTTAAGTGATAAAATATTTCCTTCTTTTCATCATCTGTGACAACTAATAATGCAAAAATGCTGTTTGAGGTCGACGGCGCCTCAGCAGGAGGAGGAGAGCTGTGAAGCTGACGTAAGCTGCAGCTTTAACTTTACCTTTATTCAGTGGAAGCGGCTGTGGTGCTCTTCGATTCTCTGCTCTCCTCATGGAGCTCAGAGCTTCCTCCTCATCCTCTGAAGTGCTGTAGCTCTGCTCATCATCATCATCTTCCTCCTCCTCCTCTTCTTCCTCCTCCTCCTCATCCTCCTCCTCCTCGTCCGGCCGGGGGGTGGGAGGTGACTGCTGGGAACGCTGGGGGATGTGGGGGAATTTAACGGGCTCCTTTGTTCCTGCTGGCAGGCTGCACATCTTGGGCGGCTGGTAGTAGACGTGCTGCTCTGGGGAGCTGCTGCTGGTGTCGGGGCTCAGCGACTGGGAGCAGACGCTGCTGTCGGCCTCCACGGTGGGCAGCAGGTAGAGCTCCGGCTGGGCGGCCTGCAGACAGGTCAACAGGTTACTGCAGCCGGAGCGTGTAAACTGGACATGGGGCTGCTCGTGAAACCAAATTTGCAAATACAGAACCTGGTGTCTACATACATAAGGTGGAGCGAAGGTTTTCACTTTCAGGTCTCTCTCCTGTTTGCTTTTGACCTGTAAAAGACGACAACAGTTTGGTTGTTGCACGGCAGTAAAGAATGTGTGGCCCCCCATTCACAGGCCTTCCACCCTGAATAGTAAACCGTCTGCATTGTGTCTCTACTGTCCTCAGTAAACTGCCAGCTGCACTCACCAGTGCCAGACTGCGGCCGACACATTTCAGGAAGGAGAATCTGTCAATGCTCCCGTCGGCGCCGAGCAGAGCGCCGAGCTCCCTCCTCAGAGTCCTCAGGGTGGTGTCAGGGTAAACTCTGACATGAACGGAAAGGTCATTTTCAGAGCTGCTAGCACAGATATTCATTCACACTGGGTTTGCACAGCGGCACTGGTCAAAAGAGAGTGAAGTTCAGTTTTCTAGTATTTGGATTTGAATTGACTTGATTCAGTTTTTATTAGAATTAAGTTTCAGTCTGATTGATTCAAGTCATTTTTATTGCAGTTATTCAAGTTAATATAATAAAGCATTCATTCAAATTATGAGATTGACAATTTAATTATTCCAGTCAACCGTGTCATTAGTCAGTTTTTAGAGATCAATGAGCAGAAATGTGTGACACTAGAAACTGAATTTCAGTTCTCTATATTTGTATTTAGTCTTTATTGCTCGACTTGATTCAGTTTCAAGTTTACTAAAATGAAGTTTCAATCTAATAAACTCAAACTGAAATGGGAAGATATGGAGTCAATCTTTTTATTTATTTATTTTTTTTACAACAATTATTCAAGTTAAGCAGTTCATATTCAAATATAAATAATTCAAATTCAGTTTCTAGTGGCACACATTTCTGCCACAAATACAAATTTAAACACCGTAACTGGATTTTTCACAACTTTATTTCATTTCAGCTTACTAAAATACAGTTTTAATCGGATAAATTTAAATGATCATTTTCAAATTAAAAATTTTATCACAAGTATTCAAGTCAACCGTGTCATTAGTGACCTGTTTATGAGCACAAATATGTCCCACTAGAAACTCAACTACAGTTATATGTATTTTAAATATAGATAAAGCAAATTTAAATATAAATTATTCAAAGTCAGTTTCTAGTGGCATGCATTTCTGCCACAAAGAGAAATTTTGAATATCATAATTTAAAATTTCCTCACCTTGACTCCTTTTTTAAAAAATTGCCTTCAAATTGTGAGATTCAAATTTCTTTCTTTCTTTTTTTTTTGTTATTTAAGTTATCGCTGTTATCGGTCAGCGTTCTGAGCAGACGCATGTGCAGCTACAAACTGATGTTCAGTCATTTATATTTGAATTTGAATTGCTCATCTTGAATAATTGTAATAAAAACCTGCATTTGAATCTAATCATTTAAACTTGAATTTCTGAACTTCAGTTTCAGGTTTACGGTTGTAATCAGTTGTAATCAAACATATTCATTTCTAGTGGCCCATGTTTCTGCCCATTAACAGTTCACTGAAAACCGACCAGTGACAAGGTCGAATTGGAAAACTGTCATAAAAAAGTTTAATTTTAACGTCATCATTTGAGCTTGAATTTATTAAATTGAAACTGTAGTCCAATAAACTGGAAACTGGATTAAGTTCAGAAATTAAGACTCAAATTCAGATTTTCATTACAATTATTAAACTTGAGCAATTCAAACTATTCAAATTCAGGTTCTAGTGGCACATATTGCTGCCCATACATTGTTAATAAATGGAATACTTGCTTGAACAAGAGGAACAAAACAGCTTTCAACAGTTTCAGCTTGAATGCAATTATCATATCAAGCTTTAAAAGCAAATACGACACAAGCTGAACAAAAGAAAAAACACATAAATACTCATGTTTTTGTAAATTCTGAGCCTTTAGATATTATGAGACTTTGACGTGTCAGTCTGCAATATGTGACTAAAAACCCTGTCTGGTAGTAAATTGCACCATCTTATCCCTGCTTCCACACTAAATCTACCAGATAAACACTTTGAAAGGCTGCAACTTCAACAACTTTACCTGAAACATAAACACATGCATCATCTCTTTGCAGTAAATACATGACAACACAGTGAGTTCCATGTGTTCAGCAGCAGTGTCACCTGATGAAGCCTGCAGATATGAAGCTGTCTATCGCCTCAGCAGGCACTTTGTTGAGCTTCACGTTCCACTGGTCAGCCGGCACATACAGCACATGGAGCTCCACAAACTGCAGGAGAAGTGACACGCTTCAGACGCACATTCCCGCAGACCGAGTCCATCTGCAAGGCTGCAGGAAGGCCCTGGACGTACCTTACAGCTGGCGGGTCTTCTGTCCTCTGCACATCTCACCGACTCACAGGACAGCTCCATCGTGGGTCCAGCTCAGCAGCAGGAGGAGCACTGAGCAGGAGAGAGAGCTTTCGGTTTGGTTTATTTGCAGGAAGCCTTGTTTTTCTTGTCGCTGTGAAGGCGTGGACTGCTCAGTAACAATCTGCTGTAATCAAACACACTCAGGCGTCCAGTGGAGTTTCTTTTATGAGAGTGCCAGCAGTGGTTGCTCCGGTGCTGACGATGACAGCTGCCTGCAGAAAGAAGACGCTGCTTCTCATCTGCGCTCGCCTCCTGCAGAGTCCATTTGTGATGCAGGTTTTTTTATTATCTATTTATAGAGAACGTTTAACGCAGCAGCTGGTGAGCCAAAGTGCTTCCTAGAATTAGACTGCTGTCACCGATCAAGTTTAAATATAGACCCTACAGTGTTATTTATGGTGTGAGTTTAAAGAATAAATATGACAACTCTACACAAAAAAATCATGAAATGCAACTTTTACCTGCCTATAATAAATATTAAGGCTAAGATGAACTAAAGTTAAAGCCCTACAATACAAAAATAAAGCTTTGTTTTTACTTTTATTGGTGTACTTTTGTGTTTTACAGCTTTATTATATAATTTTTTATATCTTTAGTTTCTCTGCATTTTTATTCTCTCACTTCCAAGTGTTTTAAACATTACATTTATTTGTTGATTTTAATTTTATATATTTATAAACTCTATATTTTTGGACTTGCTCTTGCAGGCATTTTTAACCTTACCTTTTTGTTTTTATTTTTATACTTACTCTGTCAGATGTTTTTAATTTTGCATTTTTGTTTAATATATTTCATTTAGTTTTATATATTCTATATATTTCTATACTCACTCTTTTAGGCATTTTTAACTGTTGTTTTATTTAATTTTATATGTAATTATTTTATTAATATTTTATTATTGTTTTGTGTGTTTTTAACTTTTTTTGTATATATTCATAATGTCTATGATTATAGTTACTCTGTTGGCCATTTATAACTCTACATTTTTATTTAGATTTATTTTACATATTCTCTATATTTTTTTACTTAATGTCATTCATTTTTACCTTCATATTTAATTTTATTTAATATATTTATACTCTTTATTTCTATACTCACTCTACCGTTTGTTTAATTTTGTAAATTTTCACCCTCTGTATTTTTACACTTGCTCTGCCAACCATTTTTAAATTCTTTTATTATTATTATTATTATTTTTATTATTATTATTACTATTATTACATTACATATTTTACATTCTGTGTTTTATACTCGCTCTGCTGGTGGCTTTTAACTTCATGTTTGTTTGTTTTTTTATTTATTTGATTGTTATTTCAGCCATTTCTTGCTTTACATTTATTTTATTTTATGTATTCATATTCTCTATATTTTTATTGTCACTTTGCCACTTGTTTACAACTTTATATTTTACTTTTATTTTTTTAATCCATTTTTATTCCATGTATTTCTATACTCGCTGTCAAGGCGTTTTGTATTTACACATTTTCACCGCTAGATGTCGCAGTGTTACTGATGCTGCATTCATAACTATGGGATTTGTCACCGTTATTAAGTATTTTCACCCGCCGTGCTTCGTAACGCAAATGTTCAAATGTTTTTCAAACGTTCAGTGTTTTTACACACACACCCATGAATAAAATCAAAAAACTACACGCTTTGTGCATCTCGCTTTCACAACTTTATTTCTCAAAGTAACAATGAACACTTTCAAGTGGCGAATTTTAGTAAATACGAAACCAAGACTTACGAGCATCCCTGAAGGCAGCACTGGCTGACACTCCTTTAAGGAAGAAGAAGAAGTTAGCAGCTAGCTAGCAGCGACAGCGAACTCTTGATTAAAGTTTCATATTCGTCGCTACCGAGACTTTAACCGTAACAATGTCGGGATCGTCCAACATCGTGGCGATGAAGAAAATCGTCCAGCAGCTGCGCCTTGAGGCCGGAATAAACAGAGTGAAGGTAACGGTTGAAAACGCTGCGCTTTCAGGGCGTTTAGTTTGTGTCGTCGGTGTTTGTTGCTGTAATGTTCCGTCAGTGGTTCAGCGGCTCTCCGTGCTTCCCTCAGGTGTCCCAGGCGGCCGCCGACCTGCAGCAGTTCTGCCTCCAGAACGCCCAGCAGGACCCTCTGCTCACCGGCATGTCGTCCAGCAACAACCCGTTCAGACCGCAGAAAGTCTGCTCCTTCCTATAGCACCGCGGCCGGCCGGCCCGCCGGGCCTCCTGCTCCGTGAGTCCGCCTCCGACCCTCCGCCGCACCGCTCAGGTCAACAGGTGTTCTGCCAGAAAAAAAACAACAACAAAAAACCGAAATTATAAACGTCTCCAGCTGCTTTTAATCACAGTCAGAATGTTCAAATACACATAACTGTATGTCTGTGGAGAAAACCCAAAGTGTGAAGTTTATTCTGTAACACAATGATTTGGGTCAAAGACGTTTCAGTTTAACCAGGAAATATTTTACTGCTTGTTTTTCTCCTGATGAGATTCCAAATATAAGGAAGGACGTTAGAAACAGCCCAGACTGCAGTTAACAGGACTTGGGTTTCATGTACAAAATTAAAATAATAATAAATCTCTTCTCCAGTTGTTATATAAGATTGACTTTATTGATCCCTCCTGTGGAAACAAACAGGCTGAGATATAAAGAGGGAACGATTTAAAATAAAACCTTTATGTTGCATTAAGAGTAGAGCTGCAACAACTATTTGAATAGTTGCCATCTATTACATTTATTTTGATTATAAATTAATGAGTTTGTTTCTCATGAAAAGCTCCTTAAATGTGAATATTTTTGATTTCTTTCCTCCTCTCTGGCAGTAAACATCTTGTCATTTTTGACTTCCTGGAACTGATTTGTCACCGTTTTCTGGCATTTTAGAGACCAAATAGGTGCTTGGTTTATTGGGAAAAACAATCTACACATTGATCAACAGTTGAAATCATTAGTTCCAGCCCTATTTAATGAGGTTTCAGTTATAAATGAAAGGCTGCAGTCAGTCCTGATTTAACTTTTCAAGTGAAAGAGTGCATTATATGAGTCTAAATAGTCCTTTAAAGCTGTTTCTACCAGTTAAAACAGCTAAATTTGTCATAATCCAGCCACAGAGCAGGTAAAGATAATGCAAACATGAGTGTAACTGTAAAATAGTTCATTTTTTTTAGACTGTTTGATCAGAATAAACCGCTGTGGATGTAAACAAATTGGACACATTCATCTTTGGCAGATGATCACTTTTTGGCAGAACACCTGGACATTTCTAACACCTGTAATTATAATTTATAACAATCACACTAGTCAATTAAGACATCTCGTTTTTTTGATGGACTAAAACTGACAGGAACTCGTATTTGGTAGCAAATATTTTCTCAATTTATCAGTTTGGTCAAAAAAAATTTAAGCAAAGTGCAAAGATTAGTTTAAATTCTGTAAATTTTTTTCTTTTTTCCAGGATAAAATGTTTTATTTCAGTAGATATAATCATTTTTTAATAAAGGCCAGGAGATGAAATGTTAATTTCGAATTTAGACCTCTCCAGTTTGACAGCATATGGTTTTCTCACTACGGCCGACTGATACCGACATTAGAAATGAATTAGATCGATAACTCATATGAGGAATCGATATACATTTGCAGTAAAGATTAAATATCTGGCGTCAAAATTCCAACACAAAACTTTTTTGTTGTTGTTCTCCATACGTTTAATCAGCTCTAATAATCAGTCGACCCCTAATTTCTTGTTTTATCGGATCAAGAGTAAATAAAAATACTCGAGTAACATTTTAGAAGCTAAAAGCAGCGACTTCTTTTTTTAAGTTGCCCAACATTTGTTTATCAAAATTGTTTCGTTGACCAACTAATTAAAGTTGCAGCTCTAAACTAAAAACGTAAAGTTGCTGCAACCCCTAAAACCTTCAGAATGTACAAATCTTCTTTTAATACTGAACAACTTAACTGTTAAATTTTCTGTGCGCGTGTTGAGGTTCATCTACAGCATCCATGTGCTTTAGTCAAGTCACTGCTACTGATAAAGAACATTTAAACCAAAGACTGTCCAAGTGCTTTTCATTAAAATAGAAAATGATGAAGGTACAAATTAACCTGTTTAGTGTAAATATTACTTATTTATGACGTGATAAACATAGTAATGCTTTAAACCCTGCAAAGGTTGTATTAAACACCACTTTGTCTGACTTTAATACAACAAGGCTGAGAGAGATTAACCTAATTAATAATAAAACTAAAAGCAAGGTACATTTAATTTTCATACATTTCAGCTGTAAAGTCGGTGCAGTTCTCCCATCCAGCAGCGTGTAAAGTGTTGTCTGACAGTGTGTTTGTGTGACTAATCTGCGCCCCCTTTGTGCAGGTTTTGGACTTTGTGGTGCTCTGTGGAACTGGGCTGCAGGATCCTGCATCGTGGACTGGAATCGTCTCAGGAGTGTTAGGGAATTTGGGCCAAACAACTAACTTAAGAGTTTTTCCTTTTTTTTTTTTTTTTT